TTGGTTCATCAAGGACCTAGACTCCTCCCACTCTTCCATTCTTAGCAGGTTGTTCCCACCATGCCACAAGGTGGCCGTCACAGCTCCATGAACTCATTGAGGCAGCCCCACTTTATCATGAAAGTAAAAGCTTCCCCAGAATCCTGCCAGCATGTTTCCCTTTAAATTTTGTTGTCCAGAACCATGTCACATGCTCATCCCACCTCACGGGAGGCTAAGACATTGAGTATTTGGCAACGAAGAACAAGATTGTCATGGTTGCCTAGAAGCAATGTGGTTCACCCCCTGGGGATGGGCCCTCTGCTCTCTCTGGGTTTTGCAGGCCAAGACAAAGTCGTAATCAGCAACTAACAGTGTTTGCTCTAGTCTGGCCCAAGTGAGAGAACCCTCCCTGGACAGTGGTGTTAGGGGTCTGGGGCCCCAAATATTCACACCCAGGCAAACAGTGCTCTCCACAGAGCTCAGGAGTTGGGATGCCAGGCTTGCCCCTCCTTGCGGTGAAGTACCCTCCCTACATTGGTTTTGTCTCCCCAACAAGACGGTGCATCGAATGAGTATCTCCTTCTTAGATCTCCTTCACAGCCCTAAGGTTGGGTCAGATGAGCAGCCAAAGCACTGACAAGATATGACCATTCTGAGCAGCAGCTCTCCAGTGTCCCCAGAAATGGTAGTCTGAGACCAGGCCCTGGAAGATCTCAGTGGAGCCTTTTCTTTGCTTAGTTGCCCATACTGACTCAGGTGTGAGCCCCTCTACCTAGGGATGTGGAGGATCACCCTGGCTCATTAGCCACAGCACTGGCCTCAAGCTCCAGCTCCTCACATCTAGCAGGCTCGGCTAGCCATCACTAACTCTACTGGGAACACTTTATAGATACATGCCTATTTTAAATGCAGAGTTACCCTCATTGTACAGATGAGAGACTAGGCTCCTAAGACCATAAAATCCTGAATGGTGGTCTGGGATTCGAACCTGTGTCTACGCTATTCATTTTCTTCCAGAGCGGTGTATTCTCGGCGGTGTTTCCTCTCCGCAGGTCCTAGATTCCCCCTGACTCTTCATTGTCCTCCAGTGGAAAACGTCCTTGAAAAACGCTGACAGAGTCTTTTGAGCCTCGGCCGCACCCGTCACTCGCTCAGCAGCCGGAAGTAGCGGGCAGATGGCCGGAAGTGGGGATGTGAGGCTGGAGTGTGGCTGGCGTAGTCGCAGGCGTATAGTCGCAGTGGTGCGGCATTCTGCGGGATCTAGGGTCTGGTGTGGCAGTCTGCGGAACCTGGTGTCTGGTGTTGCGGCGCCAGCGCTGGCGAGACACAGGTGAGTGGCGGTGGCCGGGGAGGAGGTCGCACCCGCCGCCCCACTGCCGACCTGAGCTGTGGCCCGCGCGGCGTTCCTCTCTGGCCGGTGCGGAGGCCCTGTTCTGCGCTTCCCGGCCGGGTTAGCGGGCGCCTTTTGCAGGCAGGCTCTAGGGAGAACCTCGGCAACCCCCGCCACTCCGGAATTCTGTGACCTTGGGCAAAAGGTTTTTCTGAACCTTGATTTTTTTCTGCTGTGAGACGGAGATAGTAAACAGTACCTGCTTCACAGGGCTGTTGTGAGATATTCTGCCCCACTTATTATCACACTTGAATGTGCACGCGAATCATTTGGGGATCTGGAGATTCTGATTCTGTAGGTCTGTGGTGGGGCCTGAGCGCGCGTTTCGAACCAGCTTCCAGGTGAGGCTGATGCTGCTGTTCCGCAGGCCACACTTTGAGCAGGAAGGCCCTACGGGATTTTGCTTAATACCTGGGATGGGGTGAGTTTTCAGTAAATATCAATACGTATGTACCTTTCCCCCATTTTTAACAGTTTCTAGTCGCACAAGCCCAACTAAGGGTAGTATTGATGTCCCCNTGGGTTGGGGGCCATGCTGGCAATCACTGCCCATTCCACTCACCCCTCACTGCACCCGCCCCAGAACTTGGGCCTGGGCCAGAGGGGCAGGGGGAAGAGAAGGCATTATTAGGAAAAAAAATAGAAAAAAAATATGAACAGACTCAGCTTTGGAACTTCCAGCCACAAAAGAAATTATATATAAATATATATAAATATATATCTCTACCATATGTGATGGAAAGACTTCATTTTCTTTTCCCAAAGAAATAAAATGGAGAAAGCCTCTTGAGTAGCATTCTTTTGTCTGTTTGTGTCTTTGCAGATGTGGGAGGTGAGGCCTAGGTGAGGGGGTGTGGAGGGCAAAGTTAGAGTAAACAGATTTCCCAGAGGAAGTATGAGACTGGAGGCGCTCACTGGGCCGTACCAGGAGGTTGGCTCAAAGCCTAAGCAACTCCATGTTGCCCAGAAGGAGTCCTGGTTCCACATTTCTGCCTAAAGGGGCTTTCTCTATAGTTCAGATTGTCACCAAAAGGGTTTCAAGCTGGTTCCAGCTCAATCTGGAGACCAGGCTGCTGGACAAAAGGTAGATGATGGAGGACAGCTAGATGCAGCCTGCAGTGGCCTGAGCCACCTTACAGCGATGGGCTAATGTTTCAGGGCAGAACACATAGATATGAAGACAAAACCGGTTTGTAATTAGCAGTGAGGCCCCAAAAGCCGAAGGAACCCAAGCATGCTGGAAACAGGAAGCTCTCCCTTGCGGTAAGCGTTGTCCTTTATGATAATTTCTTCTGTCATCCTCACAAAGCCGTCAATCAAAAACGCATTCTGGGGCCAGCCGAGTGGTGCGATAGTTAAGAACTGGCTTGGGACGCCAGAGGACCTCGGTTCGGATCCCACATATGAGGGCCAGTGACACTGCCCTCTACAGCTAGGATGCTGAACAACAGCTCAACCTGGAGCTGGGCTGCCTTGAGTCCCCGGCGCCGGCGTAGGCTGCAGCCCCTGTGGCAGTGGGTTGCCATGGGCTACCGTGTGTAGCCAGCAGCCAGCGTGAGCG